CGATTAGAACGCATCGCTGCATTTGACAGCACCATACGCAGGTCTTGCTTTGAAACGAATATCTTMCCCACGTGCAGTTCCGATCCGCCTGGTAAAAGGTTGTACCTTGTGGCCTGTTCTATAGTCACGGTGCTTGGGGATTGAGGTACTGGTATTTGGTGATCACCAACATTACCAGGGTCACTGGATGAGGGTTCTACTGATGGGGAAACATGGTCTGTCAAAGGACTTGCATGTCGTACTTGTGATGTATTATTTAATTCATCAAATGGGAATACATGTACCGTACGAGGACTTGCATGTTGTACTTGTGCTGTATTATTTATCTCATTTGATGAGACGTGCATTACAGGAAGCATGCGTGTCGCGGGGGCGACCAATTCCGAGTCTTGAGTATATATACAGTCTGAACTGTACATGTCCTGCATGTATACGTCGTTCAACCCCCACTCATCTACCCCCGTGGAACCTTCTTCCGGTACACATCCTCCATTAGGAATGGACTGCTCTCCATCTTGGTTTAATCTAGATGACTGTATGTCAATGCTTTCGCGAGGGACGGTCGATACAAATAGTGGGACTTTAGAAACCTGTTCTTGGACTAATGCAAATCGGAGGTCATCGTCATCTGTTACGAACATTGGCGGTGAATCGCATGCCAAGTGGTACGGTACCCTAATTACCAGGTCGTACCCATTCTGGTCGACTTTCATCAGTCTGTACAACCGAGTTTTCAGTTCTTTGTACGTTACTGTAAGTGGGACAATTATTCCTTTCAGCTTACCGCCGACATACGAATTTGTGTTGTCTTCCCACGTACCACTAAATCTTATGAATAAACTTTTACCAATCTCCATTCTGCATTATAGAAGGGGGGGCAAATACATACATGCATTTTAGATTATCGAACAAAACATGTAGGCCACAGAGTCCTCAAACGGTTGCTATTTAATACGTACCTGTCTAGTTCAGTGAGTGTTGGATAGTTAAAAAAAAATGTGACACAGAATGTTGGGAAAAGTCTGATGTATTAATCAATCATCAGAATAGTTAATTTAACACGTGAATACACATTAATGGTTGTGAGAGAGTGCTTACAGCGTGATAAGAAAGTGTAATGCAATCAATGTCCTTCTGATGCTTCAACAACCGAGCAAGGAGGAGGAGAAGAAAAAGAAGAAGAAAAGGAACTTATTAATGCAGTGGGGGGGGGGCTCGGATGGGTTTAATGAGTTTTTTTTTCATATTGGGAAAATTGTCTGACAAAATAAAATAAATTTAATGCGAGTGGATTGGTGAATGACATGTTATTACCATTACACTCTGCCACGTAGTTCAATTAGCCACATCGCATTAAATACATCTGACGACGTGTGTGAAAAGAAAAGAAGTAGAAGTGACTATGAATAAAAAACGATATCGAGAGCGAGAATGATCGTGATCATGCGCTGTAACGACAATATCGAGAAAGCGCGCGTCGAGAGGGGACATAACGAAACGAAATCGAGATCATGTCAGATCGAGTTAGCGAGAGGGTTAGATTGAGTTAAATCGAGATCGAGAGTGAATAACATCGAGAACGATTTTGATCGAGTTAGCGAGAGGGTTAGATCGAATTAAATCGAGATCGAGAGTGAATAACATCGAGAGCGATTTCGATTGATTTTGATCGAGTTAGATCGAGTAAGATCGAGATCGAGATCGAGAGTGGATAACATCGAGAGCGAGTTTGATCGAGTTAGTTCGGGTTAGATCGAGTAAGATCGAGATCGAGAGTGGATAACATCGAGAGCGAGTTTGATCGAGTTAGTTCGGGTTAGATCGAGTAAGATCGAGATCGGGAGTGGATAAAATCGAGAGCGATTTACATCGAGAGCGAGCTTCAAAGATGCAATGGAAAAAAAATTGAGTTCATTCAAAGTAAGGTTCATTATGCCAAAGTTGTGTCGCATACTGCCTTCTAATGTGCGACACTTCAGCCTGAACAAGCGTTTCTAAACTATTACCCGACACAAGATATTCCAGAAATTTACATGCAAAAATACCACAGTCTATACTACCTTTCTGCCTCGTGTCGGTCGTAGGACGGTATACACGCTACAGAGTCTTCTTCAGCTTGCAATCGGCCGTATCCATCAGCCCACATGCGTACAAAAGCGATGGGATTGTATGACTCAACGGCCGCATGTCTGTCAGCAACTTCGACGTGGAAATGTGGCCTGGCAATGAGTCGTATACAAAAATCTCGGACTGGGTCATATCTATCGCAACCAGGACCTAGTGATCCTTGATACAAAGCGGGTTGTACACTACGTCGACGTCCACCCAAGATGGAATGAAATCTTCCACCAGACCCAGCACGGCATCCATGCACTCCTTATACTCGTCCCAAGCATAGGTCGTGTCCTGGACGACCTTCCCCTTGATTCGTGCGTAGGGACCACCTGCAGCGGCAATAACTTGCTGCATAACAGCAACATCACACACACACAACACAATCACCATTAGATTCGTCGAAACACAAATATTATGCGTGTATGAATGAACTACTTATCTTACCATTTGTAGTGGGTCTAGGACAGAAAACTTATGAACGCACAGGTGCGGCCGACTACCGAGCTTCCTCATAATGAAATATAGAATGACAGCAGCTTCCTGCACACACGAGTACAGCAGATATGTTTGGTGAAACACAGTGCAGTAATGGGCATACGGTAATGGGATGTGTTGTATCACTTACCGGGTCTTCGACCTTCTCCTTAGGATTGAGGATGTTAATGAAGAATCTTTTGGAATATCCGCTCTGCACATTCCAAGTTGTAGACGGCCGCKTTATATTGTCATTCCCAGGGTCCCGTACCCAACGCATCATCTCCCTAAACTTGGCATCAGGAAAGTTATGCAATGGGTTGTATTTGGGACGAAATGGCCTAACCTGGCTGGCAGGTACGGGATCCACATCCACCATCTTCTGCTTCTTCTTCTGCCGACGCGTGTCCTCCGGACTGAATGGTTTCGTTTCCTTCCGCTTACGCTCGGTCCTTCTTGTTTCGTTGGGATACGAAACCTACAAAACACAAGGAAGAGGCAATTTTTTATGTTGTACGTAGTTTGTTAAGTTTAGAAAAGGGTGTGCAGGACCATACCTCAATTTTTCTGGCCGACTGCTTAGGAACGGTTTGTTGTTCGGTTTTCTTCGGCTTAGTGGGTTCGTTAACAGTGGAACCGCTGACAACGAGTGGGGCTTCTCGCGGTGCTGTAAACCGGATTGTGGTGGCTTTTTTGTCATGATGGGGGTTCTTCTCCTTAGTTGGTTGGTGCACGATGGCCAACGGTTCAGGAATTTTGTCTAACGCGAGGTTAGTAGAACCCACGGGATCACTCGGATGACGGGTGGTGGGGTTTTCAGCTGGTGTAAGGGTGAGAATAGGTTGAGGGGTGGAAGTCATATATGCTGGTGTAGGTGTGGGAATAGGTTGAGTAGTGGGGTCATATCCGCTGGTGTAAGGGCCAACTCAATATGCTCGGCTTGACGAGGCCCATGAATCATGCCACACGGACCATCAATGTTGGTTGAGGTAGGAGGCTCGAAGGTTGGATCGGACGTCGTCTCTGCTTGTGGATCCTGTACTATTGGTGGTGTCATTTTGAGTTCCACCATCTCTGTCGAAACAATGGGTGTCACCACTGCAACATCCAACTCCACCGAATCGACAATACACGCGGGGTTGGCTAGTTCTGCATCTCCAAGATCGGATAAGGGTATGGTCATCTATACTCCATCCATTGCCTTTTCATGCAACGACGCTTCTACAGGAACCACATCGTCCTCCTTTCCAGCATAGGAACCTYCAGGTTGATTGTCATCAGCATCCCCATCATGCTCGGGGATAACATTGGATACCAATGGATGTGACACGTGGACTGTATCCGACGGAGAGACACCAATATTCACCTCTCGCCTATCGATCTGCAAACGAACTAACATATTAACACTTCGATTGAATGAATACATAGAGTATACGAACTATACCAAGTCATAGGAAAAGGCTACCTGGCACAACCGTTGAAGCATGAGTTTCATTTCACTCAAGTCGGACTTGACCTCCGCCAAATCCGTCTTCACCTCCGCCATGTCCGAAGCTAAAAGATCCAGCCTTCTCTCCATAGCCCCGAATCTATCATTCGATCGACGGGTGTCGTGTCGTTGTGTAGGGCAAGCATCGCGTGACGTTGCTCGAGGTGATTGCCGCGTGATTTGCCCCACATTCGACCGAATAGAAGTACTTGGTCGAAGTACTTCAACCGGTGTCCGTTGTCCACCTTCAGATGCGGCCTCTGTACGTGGCATATCCGAAGACTCATCCAGCATTGCCTGTACATTCGTTTCCAACGAATGCGCATCGTCGAGTGGGAGATCATCTTCGGCGCCAAGATTGTCGGTGATGGGGGAAGGATTGTGTCCATCATCACTGTCCGAGGTGGAACACCCAAGCGCATTTAAATCAACCACCTCTATTTCGTCCAATGGACACCTCTGGTAGTCCTTATCCAGCTCCGTCTCCACGAGTTGATAAGATATGACGAACTGAACGTAAATCACAAGAACATAAGGAAGTGTAAATACCATTACAACTAGACAACAATAAACATATTATAGATCACTCTCCCAGATCTTTTGTACCGACGACTCTACTGCACGAATATCGAATTATCCGTGGAATGGCGGTCTCGCTCAAGCTATTGACACCGGGAGTGATGAGAGATGGGACAATCTCGTATATCCACACCTGAATATAAAATTTCAGTTTAGTCTCACACCTAAAAAAAGTTTTCACAAACAATGACAACGAGTATGCATACGTATTGATTACCTGAAATGCAAGCGGAAATCCCGGTAGGCTATACTTTACTAGATACTTTTTGTTCGTTCTTACTTTGTTCTTGTATAGTGCAACTTTTCCATTCATCGCACGCTTCAGACCGTTAACTGTCCTACTTCAGACATCAGAACCCCAGTCCAAATGGTTGAAGTAGTTCAAGTCATCGACTTGGTTGTACAAGTCGATGTCAACCTTCGACTTGCTCTTGCTCTTTACCATCATCACAAGCTCCGTGTACAAAATTAATGTCACTTTAACGGCGTCCTCGTCGTCCTCAAAATCAGTCTGCTTGTAAACCTCCACAAACTCTTCGAACAGCATGGAGGCTTCATCGTTGAAGTACTTCCTCCGCAACCTATTCTTTCCAATCTTTTTCTAGACCACCTTACCAGGCAGCCGCCACAATCCCGTTATAAGCATGAATTGATCCTTCGAGAATGTCAACACGTTGCCACCAATTAAGAAACTCATGCTGTCGTCACTGCTCCCAACAACCTCCCTTGACAGAAAGTGATGAACTACACCACTGCAGAACATCATCTCCAAGTCGACAAATCGACCAAATATTGTTCTTCTACGAAACATATCAAGTTGGTCCGCTGTGAGTTTATCCTTGATAAGCCTGTTGACATTGCTCAAGTGAGACATGCTGGTAGCTTGAGCTGAAAAGCGATCATTCTCCTTAATCCTCAACTGATGGTCCATTGTGCACCTGCAACAAATTGAACAAGATATATGATGACAAATTAAGCAGATAGAGAAACGGAAACACGCAAGTAGTTCAAAAATTTAATAATTGAACATGATACATAATCACGGATTAAGAAGACAGGGAAAGGGAAACACGCAACTAGTTCAAATACAAAATGTAAAACACTGTAATTTTTCTCGATCTCGATGTTTCCCGCTCTCGATTTTGCTCTACCTATTTCACACCCTATAATTGCAAATCAATGGAGCTTCTCTCGTTCTCGATATTTCTCGCTCTCGATCTTTCTAGCTCTTGCTGTTTCTCGATGTTCTAGCTCTCAATATTTCTAGCTCTCGATTTTTCAAGTTCACTGTATCCATCACGATGATTCTCGATTTCGCTCTTCCTAACACACTCACGATAATTGTAAATCAATGAAGATTCTCTCATTCTCGATATGTCTCGCTCTCGATCTTTCTAGCTCTCGATTTTTCTAGCTCTCGACCTTTCATGTTCACTGTATTTCTCGATCTCATTTTTGGCTCTTTGGTTATTTCAACATCAGCCCCCCCCCCTCAGTATTAGTTTTCAAAAACACGATTTTAGTCTCAATCGATTCATTTCCCTGGCGCCGATTACGTATTATTTTCCTCTTCTTCGAAAGCCCTAGATGTGTAGTGTAAAAAATCCACAAAAATAGCAAAAGAGACAGAAGAACAACGTCGGGGTTGTACAGAACTTACGAACAATAGCTAAAATAGTGGTAATTAAAACGAAAATCTTAAGCTATTCGAGAGATAAATGCACTAACCNTCTCAATCGATTCATTTCCCTGGTGCCGATTACGTATTATTTTCCTCTTCTTCGAAAGCCCTAGATGTGCAGTGTAAAAAATCCACAAAAATCGCAAAAGAGACAGAAGAACAACGTCGGGGTTGTACAGAACTTACGAACAATAGCTAAAATAGTGGTAATTAAAACAAAAATCTTAAGCAATTCGAGAGATAAATGCACTAACCCAAAGTTAACGATGAAATCTCCTTCGTTGTAATCTGCAACCAAAATCACTTCGTCTCACCGCTTGAAGACGACAGGGTCAGAGTTACCTTAGCGAGTCGCAATGGAAATACGAAGGAGAAAGATAACGAGATCTAGAGAAATGTAATTTCAATCGCAGGTGAAGACAGTCAAATTTGAGTCGAGCGAAGAATGCTACAGTGTGAGTGCGCTAAAGATGGAACGGACTATTCGTATTAGGAGGAGGGAAAACTAAAATTTGGTACCCAAAGTAAGGAGTGGCATTGGAGGTCATTTGACAAAGTAAGTGATGTCAGCAAATGATTAGAAAACTTGTGTTTTAAGAAGGATGATTAAAAAATTTAAAAGGCCACTGCAAGAGGCTTATTTTGTCAATTTTCTCCTCTTTATTTGACTATAACTTTTACTTTTGATTTCACCCATCATGTTATATATCTTTTACTTGTATATTCATGGTGTAGTCATTTCTAACTCAATGCAGAATTTTATTTGCATTCCTAGTATCGTGATTAAATGTTTTCTTTTAATTTTTTAAAAAAGTTAATTCTAGATATGATAATAATAGACGCAACCAGTTACATTACCTTTTTCGTTACATTTACCAAGTGGAAAAATAAGGCTATTCATGTCCCGCTCCTACGTCACCATTATATTATTGTCATGATCCCTCCAACCAAAACCAATATGATCAATGCCAAGTCCCATTGACTTTCCACAAAGAAGCATGTCGTGTTTTAGAGGTGACAAGACACCTTTAATTACATTGTTATATGACCATTTCTACTCCGAAATTTTGTACTCTTAAAGGTATGTTTCATAACGTTCATGTTTCTTAGGAAGATTTGAAAATAGACACATCATTATCTTCCAAGTTCCATGGGAGGGAAAAGTTTCAAAATGATATAATTAAAATAAGAAATTCTAAATACAGATAGTTTTTAAAATAAATATTTAAAAAATATAGTTTAAATTTTTAAAAAAAAAAAGTAAAAACTTTAAAACATTTTTTGGAACTAATTACAAAAGTATGGTAGTTTTTGTCACGAAGATCTGGTAGCCACACCTAAATTATTTATCGCCACACCTAAATTCATTTAAGTAAATTTGGAAAATCAACGACTTTTAAAATATTAATTTAAATGTTTAAATATTTTATTACGTTAAATTTATCTATTTTTCCCTCTTCTCCACTTTGCAGGCGCATGACCAAACCACCATCAATTTCAAACCAAGTTTCGTTTGTTTTTATCTTTTAAAATTACATTTATTTAAAAAAAAAAAAAGTAAAATCCACGATGTGAACTTCAAGTGGATTTTACCACACGAAGATTATGGTTTTGAAAAATAGGATTAACAGAATATTGAAGAATATTTGATAGTAAGGACCTGCCAGAAGGGGCTGTGGCATCAAGTGGCGACCTACACTTAACAACTGGAATTCATTGCAAACATGAAACATTATTATTTTACCAGCGAGTTTCCGCGATCGATTCCCAGTAACGAAAGAACTAAGTTTGCCAATGCGACCTATTGCCTGAAGGAAACAGACACGTCCTGACCTGAAGCATCAAATTAACAGTCACTAACAAAAACATCAAAAGCTTTAATGGGCTTATTGTCCAGTAGAGAACAAGAGACGAGAAATGGTTAACCGTGCTTTTGTCTCTTTTTTCAATAAAAAGAAAAAACGAGAAACATGAAATAGTTATCAAATGCGGTTCTTCTTTATTAAAAAAGACGAAAAATGAAATTTGAAACGTGAAATGAGAAACAAGAATCATGAATATTACCAATGAAATCACAGATATTATCGAGAAAAACTTTAAGATATATAAGCAATAAATTTATGGTGAAAGAGCCAGTGAATTGTGACATTATTTGTTAGCGTGAAGAAGGAGAGCTCGGTCCTTGGTTCATGTCGTGAACCTATCCATTCAGGCATATTAGCAGATCCAATAACGGCTTATGCCAGTATCTTGTAGTGCCTCTTTCACAAAAAGTCTCAGTTGGAATCTTAATGATCCTAAATATTTCTGAGAAGTCAATCTATATTAAAAGGAATTCTCGAATTTTATTAGAGCTCGAGGAATATTACTCAAGGCTAGGATATTTTTAGAGCCTGTTTGAGATATTTATTATCGATCTCCAAAATATTTCTGGAGAGAAATATATATAGATTAGTATAGAGGCTCCAATAAGTCTCTAGAAGAGAGAGTTAGTGTAGTACAATTTTGAAATAATTATAACTGTCTTCTAATTATCTCAATGACGTTGAGAGAAGAAAAGATAAAAGTTACTACACTAATTCTCTCGCAAAACTACTCAGTTAACTCCTATCTAACTCAATCTCACCGGATTAGTAAATAGTTGACCGTCCTTTCTACAAACATCACTCCCTTTGAGCAATCAAGTTAAGCCCCCTGCATAACATCAACCCAACTCCTAAGTTTCGTGTTTTTTCCTCCTAGCATAAGTGTGGCGAATTCGGGATTTTCCACCCCTATCAGAGTTCTGTACTCATTCACTAGTGCTACTGTCATTCTAAAATTTTATGATGGATACATGATATTACATGACTATTACCATGATAAGAGCAGTTAATTCGTGTTACCCTTTTGCATGAAAAACTAACCTGGGACGTCATTTATCCAGTCTGATGGGTGTGAAGGGAGACTATATTTAGGATCGGTCACCAAACTGGAGATTGTACGATTCACTAGGAAACTCCGGCAAACCCTGATATTCTTGCAGCTTTCTTGCATTATGGTTTCTGATGCCACTTCTGAATAGAGTGCTTGCTGTAAACGGAGTTCTTGTGCAGAATGAAGAATCCTTTCTGTTCCTCTCAGTTACTTTCTTTTTCAAATACTCAGATGTGAGAGCCTGAACTGATTTAATCAGATAAAAATTTGCAATGGGTCAGACAGTTGCAAGGAGCCCTGGTTTTGTTTTTTGAAAAATTATTATTAATGTCAGACTGAGTTACTAAAACCATGCATTAGAACCAAAAGGCATAATAGTTTCATTTCGTTTTCTTTCCTTTCCTGCTGCATAATAAGATTTTTGAGGTTAGTATTCTGATTAATGAGTTGGATGTTAGGTTAAGATACAACAAAGGGGGTTAGAAAGTAAGTAAAAGGGAAACCGCTTTCATGACAGTGAATTTGTTAACCAAAATAGGGCCTTTAGCCAATAAACGGGAACACTTAAAAGATTTGTCTTGTTTATATTCAAGTTAGGCGCATCTAGTATGCAGTCAATTTTAGTGACTGGTTTGATCTTTAAATCTTTTAACTCAACTAAAGGTCGGTACCAGAATGGGAAGCAGCTGATTTCAGAGCATGATCTTTGAGTCTATTTATCTTTTCGATAACTTCCACGCATTTAGACAAACTGTGTGATGTGCAGTTTTCAGTATCACTCTGCTGAAGGCGTGACAGCGCAAGCTCATATGCCTAGTAAAGAAAACTGCACGTAAGTTCACCATATCGGAGGAGACTCTAAATGAATCTTCATGAGTTCACTGTATTGAAGGAGAAAACTAACTAAATACTGCAGAATTCAGAACTGAAATAGAATATACGAGATGGAAAAATTATGTGAAAAATTAAAATTGAAAGGTATACATTCGTTAGCTAAACCCTTTCTTACCCTGCCTTTGGACTCGTATTTTATTGTGAAAAACAGAGTCACGCATCTAGATGGAATTTGATCAAATCCAACTTGACCTGATAGAAGGGTAGAAGTGCGGCTTTGAATAGCCATTTCCATGTTCTATCGTCTAAATGACTTAAAGAGTTGTGGTAACAGTAAGAGATAGTGTTGCTATGCTATCCACAAGAATCGATGTGAGGAAAAGCCTCAATCATAATTCAAAATTGAACTTGCAGAAACCAGAAAACAATAAGCAAGCGAGAGTTTCAACAAATTGATCCTATGTACTCCTAAACTTGCAGAAGGTAACCAAGATTGCCATCCTATGAAAATGCCCAATCTGTGAAACAACAAAAAACCTAGCATTTTGAAGCATTGCATGATCCATTGACGTGTATGCAAAGAAATTTATTCAAGAAAATAATCCAAGCTGAAGTGAAAAACATGTAATTTCAGTAACACACAACATTTACGGACAAGAAAAGTTCTGGTAGTTTATTTTTAAGAAATTGGATTTTGTTGTAATATTAAGTGCATCATTTTCTCCTTCTGCACACCTAATGTTTTATTTTGAGGAGCCTGAGGTAGCTTACTTGGACCACATGCTATTCACATGGTTGAAAGATTACAGCAGCTATTGCACTTTTCTTGTCCTAAAATTATCCCCTAGCCAGTGCTCCTCCAAACAGAAATATTATCACATTCGTGTGTTGAGTCTAAGGGAGTACCATAGACTTACCAATGTTGTTACACTAATAGGTAGAAGTAGAAGACGTGCAACGTGAGTTAGGTTTTTCTCCTTTTCACCATCGATCTTACTTTGTATAACTTTAGTGCTTATTGCCAACATATTAAGATCCACTATCATTTTGTTCATGAGCATGTTATTAGTAAGCAGCTTGTTCTTCAATTCAAACCTTTCGAAGACCAACTTACTAACATTCTGACGGAGATTCTCTCTACCCATCTTTTTCTCAACTTACAAACCAAGCTCATTCCAGGGGAATGTTAAGAAATAGGATTTTTTGTATTGCCATGAATCATTTTTCCTTCTGATATTGTTTATTTAGGCACCTAAGGTCAGTTACTGTATTCGATCATGTGCTATTAACATAGCTTCCACCTTTTAGACCCTTACATAGGTCTTGTTTGAAGACGTTCTCTTTCTCTTTCTTGAAACTTAGCCTCAATATTACTATTTATTCTGAGCTATTTTTTCCTATTTAAGAATTCTCTACTCAGAGCTCTTCTCTGAGAACTAACATTCATAGCACCACCATACTGACAAGTGACAACGTCAAAATTGCAGTGCCCAATTCTTAGTTCCCAAAAAACCTATACATTTTGACTAAGCATTGAAGAGCAGAAATCTCACTTCATATCTCATTATGGATTTAATGGAGCCACACATCTCGCTACATAAATTGGTACAACGCACATACTATAGAACTTCTATTGGACGCGAGGCACCTCTACTAACGAGCTAAAGAAAATCTTAAAGCAGTTCACATAAACAGAAGATATTATCTTACCTTAATGGCAATAGAAATAAAGCCAGAATGCATTGAATGCTCAGCGAAGTTTAACCATTCCACGTGTGAAACTTGAAGCCATTTCTGATTAGAAGACTTCATTTCCCGAAAACTCAAGGCCTCATATCTCAAAGCTAGGCAACTCTAGAAGCATGAAAAGTGGAAGCTGAACTTAGAGAAACATTTTATCGATATTGGCAACATCTGCTAACGAAATCATCATTTAGTATAAACTATAGATACCAAAACTAGGCAGTTAAAATATACGAATGTATGTATGCACTGGTCTTCGGCACGACAAATCTTAAGAGGCACCATAATTTATGCAGCAAGCAAAAGTGACTAACACACGGCTTCCTTATCACGAGAACATAGTTCTGGACTAAACAAAATTTTAAAAAAATAATAAGAAGAAGAAGAAGAAGAAGGAGAAGCTATTGGCAGAACTTCTGATATTCTAACAAAACAGATAATTATGCAAAAGAATACTCGCCTCAGTGTCTCCAACAAGAGCGAAAGCTCGAACCAGAAATTCGAGGACTAGAAGCTTTTGATCGTCAGTTTTTTCGACGGTTTCGCGAATGATAGATAGAGATTCAAATCTGAGTAGTTCTTTTAATCTGGATTTGGCTTCGATCAACGACTTCACGTCTTTGGAAACGGAAACAAATTCCAGAATTTGCAAAGTAGAATCATCGAGTCTGCGGAAATTTTGAGCGGCAGAGCATCAGAGAAAATGTAAAGAAACGATAACAGACGGAGATTACGGATGGAAATTCGTTGAACTCAGTTCGATTAAGAGCGAATAGCCAAACCTCCGGCTCCTCAGCCGCGAACGAAAGAGAGAGAAATGCTCTGATGGACAAGGAATGGATCCATCAATGAAGCCAATCATGTTCTTGACTGTGAGCGCAGCGATCATCGATCTGCTCCGAGCGGTGTAATTCTCATCAGTGAGAACATCAGAGACGAGAACTGAACTCGTGTTGTCCGAATGGTGGAGAAAATACGGGGTACTGTATTGCTCAAGAACAGTCCGAGTAAGAACGAAGAAAACGAAGGAAGGCAAGAGAATATGCGCAACAGGTGGCGAGGAGAAATCGAACCGCCAAATTAGTTGACCAATTGGCGGGAAAAGTTGGTCTTTCGCAGTCTGAAATTGGTTTTGAGTTTTCTTTTTATTATTCATTAATTAATATCAATATTTTTTTTAAATATAATTCATTATTATTAATTATTATAATACTAAAATTTAATAATATTTTATGTTAAATGGTGGTTCTTTTAATTTAAAATGATTTTAGTTATTTATTATTTAATAATATTAAATAAATTGTTATAACAAATAAAATAAATTAAACTTTATTACTATTTTAAGTTTGAAAAAAAATTAGCAGTAATTAGTTAGAAAGAAGAATGAGTAATTGTTATATTTCCATTTCTATTTCAGACAGTTTTAGTAAACAACATCAAAAAAAATTTGATTTTGATTTTGATTTCAAAAAATTTATGTTAAACAGGATCAAATGAAAAACATTCTCATTTCGATTGATTTTCATTCTGATTTATTCTCATTCCAATTCCTGGTAAGTAAATAGGACCTTAGTCTTTGCTATTAGAAATTAGATTAAGATTTAACAAAAAGTTCTACCGACTAGAATCTATGCGTACACAAATTATTTGCCCAACTGCAGTTCAATTTAATCTTTGAGTCGATGCAAACTTGAATAAGTTTAGGGCTTAAGAAAACCATAAGAGAACGACTTGGTGGCAACAACCTGGCAAGAATCGTGTCGCCTCCAGAGATTTGACTTCGACCTCTTTCGAAGACTACAACAACGTCAGCTACCACCGCATTGGGAATCAATAATTGGCCATGTCGACGATGGGGATGATCAAAATTCTAGGTGAAAAGACGAGAGAATTGTGAAGGGTGGGGGAAGTTAAATCAAGCTTTTCCTTCCTTCTATTTTTTTAGCCCTAAACCGATTCAAGTTTGAACCTACCCAAGATTAAACCAAACGGCATATTTGGCCAATTAATTTGTCCACATAGATCCTAGTTGGCAGCCACATCAAACTTCTGCTAAATCTTAACCTAATTTGACCATATTGTAACTAATTTCAAAGTACAGAGATTAAATCGTTATTTTTAAAAGTTTATACGCTAAATCGCTACCTTCACGAAAGTACAAGGTCCAAATGTTTCTCTAACCTTAAAAAAAATTGCAAATTTTGAAATTTGTTAAGTTTTTTCATGAATATAAATAAAAGTATTATTTGACAATATCAAAGCATATCTTAAGATGGAAAGTTTGAATTCCTACTCCTATGTTTAACTAAAAAAAAGCTAAAAAACTTTTTGGGTCCATTACTTCATTCAAATAACAATTTAATCATTGAATTTTAGTTTGTAACAATTTAGTCAATTTATTTTCAATTTGATAACAATTTATTCCATAAACTCTAATATCTAATAATTTAGACTTTGTAGTTTAAAGTTTGTAACGATTTAGTCTCCCTCGTGAAAATTTTTGTTAAGTTTCTTATATATGTAGATCGATAAATCAATGAGGGACCAAATGTGTATACTAAACAAATGCTAAATTGTTGTATGATAAAATCAATACTTAATTTTGATGAAATATTTCATGGTAAGGATTAAATTATATGGACTAAATTGCTATATACTAAAGTTCTAAACTAAATTGTTATGAAATTAAAAGTACATGGACTAAATCGTTACTTTATCACAAGTAAAATGCCAAATGTGTTTTTAGACCTAATAAAAATTTTATTTTATCATTTTTTCACTTTAATATCCATAATGAAAATTTAAGATCTAAAGGAAAATGATAAGTTTGGTCCAATTTTTAAGACTATGTTGAATAAGTCTATCGACTTAAAAAAAAATGTGGAGCAGGTTTTTAAACTTCCATGATAGTCCATAGACTTTTCTATTAAACTCAACCTTTAAAATTCTGGGATAAATCTTATAATTCAACAAAAAAAGTAAAAATAAATATAACATCAAACTATTTTTATATAATTATAATTATTTTTATAATTTAGAAATTAAAATAACAAGATGATTCCCGAACACATTTCTATCTATTTTGTTTTGGTCGAAAAAAATAATAACTAAACTAGCCCAACACTATTTTAGATTGTATTTCTTAAAACGGAAAAAAGAGAGCCAAAAATCAAGAAATGAGAACATTAAGACTCGGTAATGTTTTTGTTTTTGGTTTCCAAAAAATAACATGTATTAAAAAAATGATAAAATAATATTTTTATTTATATTTTGGAACAAATTGGAAACGGTAAGAAACTCGTTTTAATTATTTTCAAATTTTTTTATACAATTTCAAAAAATATTTCTAAAAATTTTTTAGGAAAGAAAAACATAAATAATTGGGAAATCGTTAGGTTTCTTAAGAGGAAAAAAGAAATTAAAAACATTACTTAATGGCCTTTGCGGCCCAAAAACTTCTAAGCTCATAATTGTGAGTAGTCCCATTATAAATGGGCTTGATAAATAAAGCCCATTACTAGACATTCTGGTCGCCGACTGCAAATCCGGCGAACGGCGAACGGAACGCCGGATGAAACCCTCCCAAATAAGGAGAAGCGATGAAGTGTGGCGTCGCCAATATTCGATCTCTCAAATCGTTTTCGCCTCGAATCTCGGCTGCTTCTGCATAATCCGAGCAGCGAAAGAGGAGGATCAAGCTATCCACAGGCATGGCCGGACGAAGCCATCAGCCGAACGCCTTGAAACGCCGCGAAGCTCCGTCGAGCCGGAGCCCGAGTGATGATCGCCGATCCCATCATCGTCTTTCTTCTGTCGCCGGTTCTTCCAGGGTTCACCACGCAGTTCTTCTCGAAGATCGCATATCCGCACAGCACCGGGAGATTCAGACTCTCCTCTCGGATAACCAGCGGCTTGCAGCCACTCACGTAGCGCTCAAGCAAGAGCTGGCTGCGGCTGAGCAAGAGCTTCGGCACCTGTCGGCCACTGCGGCTAAGGTCAAGGCCGAGAGAGACGCTGAGGTTCGGGAGGTTTATGAGAAATCGCTGGAGATGGACGCGGAGGTTCGTGCGATGGACGCGATGATGGCGGAACTCGTTCAAGTGCGGGCAGATGTTCAGAAGCTTAGTACCGTAAAGCAAGAGTTAACGGCGGAGTTGCAAGCAATTCGTGACAACCTTAATAAAGTCTCCTCGGGGTCGCAGCAATTGCCATCTATTAAAGCTGAAATTGATAGAATGCACCATGAAATTCAAAGAGGAAGGTAAATTTTGATCCCCCCGTTGGATTTCTTCTTTTATGATGTTCTTACAAATCATCGTTTTCTCCATAATAATTCCAAAGTAGGCTTTTCCCCAGTTGGAGCATCAGTATATGTTGAGTTGCCTTGCCTGGTTTAAGATTCTCTCTCTTTTATTGTATGGTGTCATTTTCTTTCGTTTGTTCCTGAATTTGATTGTTCCGACTTATAATTTGTATTAGCTTAATTGTTGAGATAGTCCATTCCAATTGTTCTGTAAATTTAGCTGTTTGTTTTTGCCTCAAACAAGATATCAATTATCAAATGCAAAGCCTTAATGCAGTGATGCTAATGGCTTCTATTTCATTTTTCTCGAACATTGGTGCCTACTTTAACCTATTCAAAAACTATAAAGTAGGTTTATTTTGCAGCTGTTTTTTTAGTCGTGGAAATTTTTATAGCCGTGAAGAACGACAACCCTTCATAGTAGTTGCTTTCAAGTCCCAAATTGAATTGTGTTATGAAAGGCTACTTTTGAATAGCTTACTAGAGCATTATATACCAAGATTCTTTCGTCCAACACAAAAAATAGTTTGTTCAAGGAAATGATCTTAGAAATATCTTCACCTGGTGTAAAAACATATATTGTCTACCTCTATCCACAAAACCTAAAAGGGCCCGTTGGTCCATTTCTATTTTCCAGTTCATATCTTTCGTTCGTGTGTTCTGAGGAGCGTAACCAATAGAAAGTTCTCCCCCTGTCTCGGTAAACAGGAGCAAGAAAGAGGCGCCCACATAAGCCTACTATGTGCACAATATCTCTTGTCTAGTACTAGAACCTGCACAATCCTCTTCTGCACCAATATTGTATTAAATTACCACGAAGTAGCTTGAACCGTTGGAATCAGAGAATTCAGGGAAAAGAAAATATAAGTAGTCTTTATTTTGATGGTTATTGGCGTGGGAAAATTCGGCTGTTTTCTATAGCCAGCTCCAATCTTTCTTCTTTTTTCTTGATTCTAAAACAAAAAATTGATATTATGTAACAGAGTGAACAAAAGAATTGGTGATCACTTTCTTTATTCAGAAGAAACGCATGCAGTATTCTGTGTACTCGAGAAGTAATTGGGGTTGGGAATTACCTCTTGCTAACTGTTGTTGGTCTGGACAGGGCTGCTATTGAGTATGAGAAAAGGACACACGCTGGTAATCTTGAGCAGAGTGAGGCAATGGAAAAGGGAATGGTTGCCATGTCTCAGGAAGTTGAGAAATTGCATGCTGAACTTGCGAATGCAGAGAAGAGAGCGAGGGCCGCAGCAGCTGTAACGAGTCCTTGTAAGCCTGTTTTTTTGTCTTTGGTAACTTATACACCCTTCTATTTTTGCCACTTACTCTCTTTACATTGCAACTTCATACAGTTCCCGGTTATGCTCCAACTTATGGCCATCCCGACATAAGATACGGCGGTAGCTCATACCCCCCTGACCCTTATTTCATGCATCAGGTATGGTCTTTAATGCCAACAACGCATTGCAGGGCTGATACTGTCTTGACTCTTGGTGAACACCATTAAGTCATTGGAACATGAAATTTAAGTATCAACTAGAAATAATCATCTTATAACTTTGCCCTTACAATTCAAAATCATGAAGTCATCGCAACATGGAGTTGAACTATCAACTATAAACAATCATCTTATAATTTGGGCTTTGTTGTCCAAGATTACTCCCCTCAAAATTATAGAAGTGTTTATGGAAAAAGTCAAAAGTAACCCAAGAGTTTCTAGGAAGTACTTAGAATAGAAGTAATTTGTTATTAAACACTTTTTCCAAAGTGAAAGCTAAAATCACCCATTCGCATAACATTCCAAAACAAAGTTATGAACTGAACCACAAGGCTTCTTCAACTTAAAGTAGATGAAATTTTCGGGTTTGGACTCCTGGATTGTAGGCATAAACATGGGCTTTTAGTTTAGTTAGCATATGGGGTTGCATTATATATATTTGTGTTCTGCAGATATGACGCCATTGATAATATGTATTCTGAATGATGGTACCAAATGTCTTCTACATCTCCATAATATAGGATGAGAGTCTTTTCAGGTTCAGGGAGGAGGGGGTGCCGAGATTGCTTCTCAATATGCACACGTTCCAGCGATGCATGGACCGCCTTACAACGTGCAACCAGCGCCACCGCATATGCAATGAATCGGCAGAGCGATGTATGAACATGTTTTGTGCTCAATGAGGAAGAGGTCTCAGTGTCTTCGGTTCCAATATGGCGAGAGGTGCTGTAAATACTGTTGCAGAAGCTCTGTTTTTCCATCTGGGGTCGTCGTCGTCGAGGCGGTAGTCACTCTTCCGATTGCTGTTCAAAGATGTACCAACATTTGTGTTATCGACTCTTGGCGATTAGAAGTGTTCAATATCAAGGTTGCAGTTGCACTAAATTTTGACTTCTCTTTTTCTTCCATTTTTTCGTGGAGCAAAATGATATTTAAAACATCCAGAACGGCCTAGCATTACTTCATTCATTCCTTCCCATCCCCTTTCATTTTCATTGATTATGAAATGAAAATTAAGCAGAAAAATTAAATTCAATTTATTAGTAACCTTGTTTATTTATTAGTATCCTGTACATATCAATTGGTTTCACTCCTTTCGAAAGAAATATTTTCTGTTTTTATTTCTGAATTTTTTTAAATAGAAAAATGTTCCGTAGGATCGAATACACAACCTCTTGGTTGGAAATATATGTTAATTACTGCAAACTCAGTAGATTGTTAGTCATAGATAAGGTATTAATTATTGCTAAGTTAAATTCACGATGTACATAGCTTCTTTTTCTTATAATTGCTTTTAAGGATTAAAAAATTTTGTGACCAATTGATAATTCTGATGTTATATATATAAGATTAGGTTAAAAGTAAAAGATAAGAAATACAGTCACGAATCAAATTATAGAAATAAAAATCATGACTTTACCTCTTGGTGATACACGTCGAGAACACGACACGTTCCAGGGGTCTTGCAAAGTAATTCATTTGTATTAATTTCTAAATTTCTTCATTTGTATTTTTAAATATTATCAAATATATTTACTTGTCAGCTGTTCGATTCAATAAAACTGCTTATCCAAATAGCCATATCATGAATAAAATAATCAAAATACCTCAATCTGTTTTCTTTAATATTTTTTAATTCTTATTCACGTTTTTGAAAGTAAGCCGAAAATTAAAAATTTGAAGGGAATTCACTTACGTTGAATATCATAAACTTTTGATAGTTGTATTAAATTTATTCTTAAAATAGAAAGTTATTTTACATTATTTTAACGTATATTGTATTCTAATTTAYATTTCAACCATTAAAAAAACAAACAAAAATAATTATAACAAGAAAAAATATAAAAATAGTTACACAACTTAATCTTATTTCTACCTCTGAAAGAACTAAAAATAACAAAAACTCCAAATGGCCCCTTAATCTAATCTAAATCCGATTTTAAAAAACGAGTCAATAAATAAAAATTTAATTCAGTTCACTTTATTCATTGAATAGGAAACATAAAATTAGACTCCAATCAGATACCAAACACATACAAAATGACTTCAGGTACCCTCAAAGCAAGTTCAAAAATTCGAACCGTTCAACGAAAACAATAAAATCACATCTCGGCCGTCGACTTTAAAAGAGTTCAAGTGCATTTCTTATCATGTTCGAGTGGGTGTCACTCATCATAACGAGGGAATGAACTATAAATCTCTTCATTAATAAAACAAATAGAGGAAATATGTTGGAGGAAAACATAGAAAATTACTACTCATTGCTCGAACAAATGGGTAAAACAGTAACACAGGTACAGAAATTTTATATAACAAAATCCAACGCTGAACTCAATTTTCCGAACACGGTTTCATCAGCAGAGCTCCGAGAAGCCTAAAGCAGTCACCAACGTGCAGAAGGCATATGGCAGGGCATCGATCCGTGAAAGGGGGTTAGATTAGTTCGCCTTAAGACCTAACTAAGAGTGAATCTTTTGAACATTTGGAGGAGATTCGTCGGGACAATCGCACCAACCAACAGCGTCACAGGAAAATATGCAACATTTGGCAAAAGCCTAACTCCCAACACCCAGTAACAAATTAAATACTTTTTATATGTATCATTGCTCCCAAATGGACACCCCACCCCTAAAAAAACAAACAAACAAAAAAAACTAACATCATAAGCTCGAAATTCCTAAGCCTAGTTGGTAGTCTCAGGACGGCTCAATTAACAGAGACTCAGTTTAAAGTTTCCATCTTGGACTTGAACTTTTGATATATATAAAAGAAACCAAGCTTTCATTGAGATAAAACTGAAAGAAAGCAAGAGAACAAAGAACAAGCCAAGGGCTAAAAAAACAAACCCAAAAAAGCCTGTAACGCATGGAGCCTCCCAACTAACTATACCAAACGGGGCTCCAACCCAACATCACGAGACCTAATGGATAAATTACAAAAGTCCTTGAAAACCAGGCATTAGCTAAAGACCACACCCTCAGGGATCTCACCCCATCCCAAAAATCCTGTTATTTCTCTCTAACTACAAGCCCCACAAAACCGCAAAGAATCCAGCAAGCCAAAAAATCCGACCCTCCCACCGAGGAAACAAGAGGGCTTCCACCATAGACCTGCCCCATCTCTAATTGCCATTGTCCCTCCCAGAAAGTCCTAACCTTAATAACGAACTATTACAATACTATATAGGTGGCCCAGTTGACCATTTGACTTAACAGAAGTTACTTACGACAATGTCTAAACCTAAGAGTTCCTCAATAAGACACTGTCTTTTGGAAAAATCAAATTAAGGACAAATTAAGGAATAGGACAGATATTCCAGTCATCCCTAACAAATAATAAACAAATTTAAAAAATTGAAGAACATGCCAGAAGTTAATATTTAATAATTAGAATATGAATGCAGAAATGATAATCATAGGGTTATGATATGCTTGCATCAGAGCCACCAGGGGGATGAGGGCTGAGATCAGGTGGAGGTTTTATACATCAGGCACTGTTGCAAAATTCTAAGAATGGTGATGGAAAGAGAAGCACTCACCTGAAAACATCAACCTACCTTAGCAACAAGCAGTTTGGAGATTATCCGCCTGCCTCTATAAAAAAAAACATTCACACAACTAGATTAATCTCATGCCTGAGCAAGATTATAACCCTCCGGGTACCACTATAGATAAAAAGGAGCAAAGAGGTCTCTTGCCCATAGAAAGTGAACAACCTACCTCTTTGGTCTCCAATTCAAGAATCCAGCCATGGAACAAAACTAAAACACTAAGATCACAATTCCCATTACATAAAATGCCCAATGCTGAATCTCTCAGTAAGGACGAGATCGATTTCCACCATGCTGATGTCTATCGGGTCCAGAGCCTCCGTCCCTATAGCTATCTCTACGCCTGTCTCCACCACCTCCATATCCACCTCCTCTACCACCACCTCTGCAACACAACAGGACATGTTAAACGGGTTCAGTAAGCTAAAAGTTCTGAAGCATAATGGTAAATAAATAATAAAAACAAATGAGCATTCATGGAATAGTAGTAAAACGAGTGGAGTCACATTCTAAACAAAAACATACACTAAATTAAACTGACAATTTTAGGATCCATTAAAACACGAAATATCCTACACTATGTCTAAAGCCTTGAGGATACCATGGGACACAAACAAATTATTACTATTGTTGCATCTTCCGACATAGTCCAACTATAATGACTAAAAGGTGGTGTAACCATCCATATCAAGCATTCATATCCTAGATGCTTGGATAATTGAACAGCAAAATAAATGCCGTATCATTCCTACATAAGGTCATCAAGAATTAGTTAATTATATTTTTATAAGAAACATAAATTGGCACAAGGAGGGGGCAGATAGGTTATCCACCCCACACTCGAGACCAAGGAAATGGGAAACCTACAAAAAAAATTAGGGCAAAAGGAACTGTTAGAAGAAAATACACATTTACAGAATGATTTTGAGTCAAATAATTGATTATGAACTCAAAAATACTAATAAACAACATTTCTATTAAAACAAGTATGACAAACTAAATTTTTAAAAAGCCTAATTTTCGAAATATTTAAGAATTTCAGAGCAAAAAAATTAAAAAATATATATATTGTTAATATGATGGCATATACAATTTTTCCTGCCAACAAAAATTTGTGTGTGTGTAAAGAAGAGAAAACTAAGGGAGAATAGCACTGAGGAAATGGAAATCAAAAACCCTCTTAACTCTTATTAGCTACGTAACTTCAGTAGTCAATTTGTCATGCATATCAACTAACAAAGGAAGGGAATAGCGTAATATACATTTCAATATACATGCATGCCTAAACTCTGTACTCTGACTTTTCAACTTGTTTTGGAAAAATTATAGGAAAGCAAGTACCCATGGTTGAATGTAGGTGGAGCCCTCGGTGCAGACTTCTCAGCCATTGCAACACTGATTTTAAAACCTCTCAAATCATGATCTGAGAATAAAAAATAATAATAATCGAAAAACGATACCATGCAGAAGTTCAAACAAAATTAAAACAATATTAGTTATTATTATTATTATGCTATAGAAGCACAGTAGTTACTGTTATAGAAACCGCCAGCAGAATGCGCTGCTGAAGGATCTTCATATGATACACATGCATCGCCTTTGTTATTTCCCATCTCATCAGTATATATTTTTATGTTCCAAGGCCACTGATCCTTGTAGCCCCTCTTCTGCTTGATTCTTCCAATCTTCAAAATAGAAATGTAAAAAAGGTTTCAATTAGACAGTTGATTATCTGATGCTAAATGCAAAAAACCACTGCTGGAAAATAAATTTTCTTCAACGCTTCAAAAAACAGAACACACTTTATTAACAGTATGAATGTAACTAGCCCTACAAGAGCCTCCTATGTTATATATAATTGACTCAGTCAGAAGTCAAAACAAGAACTTCTGAACATGAAAATATCATTCATCTATATGAAAGCATATCCATTATTTTAAAAGGATGAATCAACCATCACGAATACCACACAATGTGACACATTTTACAGAAGATATAATACTAATCACAAACATTTCATTGGCAACCAGAATAAAACTAGCGCTAAGATCCTCCTATGTCATAAATAATTGTCTCATAATCATAAGTCAGAACTTATAATCAAAAGTCATAACTTTCTGAACATGGCAATATGATTTGAAAGTATATCCATAATCTAAAAAGGATGAATCAACAATCACATAATGCCAACACAATTCAAAGAAGAATACCAGAGCCAAAAAATAAAGCTGAATAGCAGATTGCTTACTTGACCAATGCCGCCAAATAGTTCTCTCAATTCATCAATGGTCACATCTGGTGGCAAATTAGAAACATAGATTCTAGAGTTATCACATGTATCATCACAATTGTCATCGCACTGCTTCACCTGTGCTGACTCCACTGGTGTACTTCCAAAACCACCACCTCTACCACCAGCATTATAGCTCCCTACTCTACCACCAGCGTTATAGCCACCTCTACCACCTGCATTGTAGCCACCATCATATCCACCAGACGGCCCACCGCGACCAGCAGAAGTCCGCCCATCACCTATACTATCACCACCATAGCCACCGGTGGGTCCACCATAAGTTGGAGGGTATGTAGTTCCACCGTAGCTCGCAGGTGGAGGAACTGCATCAGTCCCATAATCTGCACTTCCACCAGAGTAAGATGGTGGATAAGAGCCACCAACACCACCAGATTGGGGTGCTGATGATGGGGGAACCTGACTATACCCACTATCTTCTCCTCCCTGGTGACCACCGTAAGAACCACCACCTCTGTTCCCTCCTTCATTTCGACCTCCATCATGAGTTCCACTTCTACCACCATGGAAGTTACCACCCCTGCCATTACGATTACCACCATAACCCCCATCAGCTCCACCTCTATTATAACCACCACCGCCACTTCGGTCATTAGTACCTCCTGGTGATGGTGCCCCACATTTGTTACACTCCACTCTTCTAGCAAAGTTCAAATTCGCACAGCTATGTGACAAAAACAAAACAAACAGTTTCAATCATATACTTAATAGCCAACAACCATAAGAAAAGCTCCTTGAGCAGACGTCTAAATTGTATGCATTTAAGGATGGGAATACATCCAATGTACTCGAAAAAAATAAAATAAAATAAATAAAAGAGCTCAGTGATAGACGTAGAAGGGACAAAAAAAAACTATACCCAGGATTAGGGCAGACCCAATCGCCATCTCTGCCGCTTCCACCACGACCACCCCCGCCACCACGTCCACCACCTCGCCCACCACGATCTCCTCCTTGATAACCACCACCACCACCACCACCACCACCGCGATCTCCTCCTTGATAACCACCACCGCCGCCTCCTAAATCCGATCAAAACAAAAAGCGGATAGAGAAACGAGAAGATGAGAAGGACTTGTCACTCTTTTGGGAGAAACGAAACAGGGAAAGTTCACTACCAGTTCCAAGATTAGATCCGAGCACTCAAAATTTCATTACAAAATACGATTCACACACCCCCACTCAACAGCATCACAACAAACCTTTCTTAACAAATACAAACCAAAAATATCATAGAACCCAAAAATTACAAGAAAAAGTTCCCCTAGCAGAATTAAAAATAAAGGACGATTAATTCCTAAATTATTTCTTGTCAAGAAGCTTCCTTTACCTAAAAAATTCAAGTCACTAAACGACGGAGATAGAAACCCACGAACGTAAGAGAAGTACATACCTCGACCGCCGTAGCCTCCACCGCCACCTCGTCCTCCATAGCCTCTACCGCCGCCGCCACCTCGGCCCCCACCACCATATCCACCGTCACCGCCCTTCCCACCGCCACCTCCATACCCTCCGCCACCGCCGCCATATCCACCGCCGCCTCCAGGGGCTCCGTAAGACGAAGGAGCAGCGTCTCCCCCTTGATCGTACATGCCAGACATTACCTCTTTTTAGGGCTAACTTGAGAGGAAGACAGACAAAGAGGAAGATGGATTAGGGTTGAATAATTTTGTGCGGGTGTATAAAAACTACGCTACTACAAGATAAAGTTTCGATTCCATTGACTTGGGCCGGCCCAATTTATTGTTGTAACACCAAATTTTAAGAAGATCAGAATAAAATAAAAATCTTTATTTTTTTATTTTTATATGTTTTTATTATTTTCTTTCTTTCTTTTTTACTTTTACTATTACAGCCTTTAGAAGTCTATAAATTTGAATTCAAATTTTTTAAGTTATGTTTGATAATAAATTAAAAATTAGGTAATATATGTACCAAGAAAAAATAGGGATAACAATTTTTTACGTAGGTTTGATGTTGATTGTCACGAAAGGTACTTAATAGGTCTCTCCTCATTGTTTAAGAATAAAGAAAAAATTCTTGTGAGAGGAGGAGAATGGCAAAACTTCTATAAGGAAGCTCCTCCTAAATTCATGCGTGTATAATTTCTATGTGATCCACTTGTCTATATGCTACTAGACCACATAGGAATGCAGGAGAAGCTTCCTCTTAATCTTCAAGAGGAAAGTTTTTTCCAGATGAAAATACTCAATTGTGGTCTGCTTGAATATTTCAAAATGAAGAAAATCACAACTACATAACTAGTTATAGAAACAAGTAATCTCTCACATGAAATTTAGTAACTTAATACATACGTTACTTTAACAAAATTAAGAAACAACTCTTTATTTAAACATATAACTTCAATTTTTAATAAAATAAAGAAACATAACAACGAAAGAAATAAATAACTATTGATAAACAAAATGAAACAAAATTCACAACGTATATGTGAATTAAAAGTTACAAATTTAATTTTCGGATATTAAGTTTGTAATATTCAATTGTTGATCAATATTTCAAATTCCACTTTCTTTCACACTTTGAAAATCCATCTGAACTGGACACGCATCTACCGAATTGGTTCAAACAATTCTAGTCCAAGATGACTAAACTAATTTTCCCCGACCATGTATACAGTTGCCTAAATATTAGGGCATGAAAACCGTAAATTCAAATTTCAAATCTCTTTGCACAAACGATTATTTATGAAATTCTATAAATGCTCCTGGACACAGAGGGTAAGGGGGTGCGTGATATTAATTCGGAATGCTAACAAAATATTAGTCATAGACTATTTTCTGATAGAGCATAAAACTAACAAAATATTCGGAATGCTAACTCTTTTTTTTTTCTTTTTGCAGAATTTCATCTTGGAGTGTTCTCGAAGATCTATTGGTAGATCTTATCAAAATTTTTCGGTACAAACACTATAAATAAAAAATAATCAATTTTGGCTTACACAAATCGAGTAAAATCAAACCAACCAATTAATGAAAAATACTTCAGCTTTTTTTTTTCTTATTACTCCTCGTTAGTACCTAGCCCAATTACAAATAAAAGCTCAGGTCATATTCTCGGAGTTTTTTAGGGAAATTGCTAAAAGTATGACAACTCTAATAGGGTTAAAGAGATTGAGGATGATCTTTTCATTTAAAGAATTGTAGGATTTTTTAAAGGTGAAAAGTCGTAACTACCCCTCTTCTCATTTCCCCCAATATTCCCCACATGAAACTCTCGATTTTGAAACTCCCTCCCACACCAAAAAGAACCCTCTCTCACACACCAATCTTTCATTTCTTCCGGTGACCAAGCTTCCATTTTTTCCGAGGATTGAGGCGACGACAGCAAGTGTTAACAACGACGACAAACTCCGATAAGTTTGCTTCAATTTTTTCCAGCGACCAAGCTTTCTCTTTCTTGGTTCTTCGTTTTAATTTTTTCATTCTTCTAAGCATTCTTATCTTCGTAACTTTTATTTTATTCTTCGTAGCTTGAATTTTTTGGTTGATTGTGTGATTTTAGTATCGGAAGATATTACAATACATTGCAAGAAAAAAAGTTAAATGTAAAATAGTCATCTCCCTTAGATATTCTTGTTTTCCTTTTAACAATTTGTTTTATTTGAATTGAAGCTATTTAGAAGATATAGATGGTATTGAATCAATTCGCACTTGTATTTTATATTCTTGCTTGAATTTTGACATTGCAATATGTTGCAAGAAAAAAAAAACAGAATGTAAAATGGTCATATTTGTTGGGTATTCTCTTGTTTTCCAATTTGCTTTATTGGAAGATATTTAGAAAATATTTATGGTATTGAATCAATTGACGCATGTATTTTATCTTCTTCCTTGGTATTGCAATATCTTGCAACAAACAAAAACAAAATGTAAAATGATAATCTCTCTTAAGTATTCTATTATTTTCCTTTTACCAATTTGATTTGTTTGAAGCTATTTATAAAAGATTGGTGGTATTGAGTTATTAGAACTTTGTATTTTTATAGTGTCTTGCTTGGATTTTGGCATTGTAATATATTGCAAGAAACAAAAACAAAATGTAAAATGATCATCTCTCTTGGGTGAATCTGATGTTTTTGTAGGTGTTAAAAGTTCTGTACTCAATATGTTATCGCCATCAATCCCTTCGTATATAATAAAGCCGTCAGATCATTTTCGATCTCAAGTAAGTTGTCTACAAAAACATATTAAGGATAAGTTGAGTTATACTCAACTTGAGATGTTCAGAAGAACACGTTTTGGATCATTTTTGGATGTAGATATAATATTTAATGGGCAGTTGATCCATTATTTGTTATTGAGGGAGGTGGAACAGAAGAATAATAATTGTATTAGCTTTATGGTTTGAGGAGTGGTGTGTACCTTTTCAAGGAAGGAGTTCGATATGGGAACTGGGTTATGGCATCGTGGAAGTTGTTCAAGTGGGACCAAATTAAGTCATAGACTCTGAAATACATATTTTAATGATAAAGGGTCTATCACAGCAAATGAGATAGAAAATAAGTTTTTGAATTTCGAGGGTTATGATGAGGATAGGGTGAAGCTGACATTGATATACCTCATAGAGTTGGCTTTGTTGGGGAATGATAAGAAAACAAAAATCAACACCAGCTCAACGTAATGGTAGTGACTGCAATATATTTACGATTAAGTTTTTCGAATACATTGTAACTGGTGCTCATTTTTGAGCTCTAAATCACAAGAAAATGAATTATTTTAGAAAACAACTAGCCTTCCAATTATGGACGAATACTCCTATGTATTAATGCTATTTGATGTAAATATATATGCAACAAATATTTGATATTTTATAGATGCTTTTTATTTTTCTCTACTATTGTTTTTCTCTAACTCATTTTCTTCATTTGAAACCTTTTTGAACTCAAGGATGCTATTAAATGAGTTGGGTCTTGCATTTTCATGGGTTGGTTTGGGGTTTGCAACAAATTGCAATCCATTTCAATATGTTGCAATACAATGCAATATATTGCAAAAAAGAAAACAGATTGAAAAAATGAGTACTACTTCTCTACTATTGTTTTTCTCTAACTCATTTGCTTTGTTTGAAACCATTTTGCATTTTTGCTTTGCAATAAGTAAGTTGTAATACTTTGCAAAATGTTGCAATATATTTTTTCAAGAAAAAAACAACAAAATCTAAAATATCCACAGCTTGGCATTGCATTACCAATCTAACAACAATAAGAACAACATATGTGATAATCAATAGACATAGAATTGCATTACAAATTAAAAAGTGATCCATACACTTCATTTGTCCTTGTATGCAATGGGATTACGACACGTCAGTCTATTATGGCCTATTTGGTCACATCTGCCACATCTATGCATTTTCGGGGTTTCACCTATAGATGTGATTCTCTTTTTTTTTGTGCTGACCGACCCTTGCCACAAATTTTGGAGGTAAGACTTCTATTTCAACATAGTTTGATGGTGTCTTCCACTCCGAGACATTACCAACTGGAAAAATAGCCTCTGCATATGCAGCCAACAAACATTCATTAGTATAGTAACGATCACATAAACTATATATTTCTATATTTCGCTCCCTTGCTGCAGCAATTGCATGTGCATATGGTAGTTTGTCTAACTGAAAGACCTTACAACTGCATTCTCGAGTATTAAAGTCTACTGTCTCCTCTTTGTCAATGTCTGCCACTTGAAATTGATAACAATGAATCAAATGTACCTTCATTGTTACAGATTCATCTTGGTTTTTTTGAACAATTTCTTTTGCCCATTTCGTCAACGTGGATGTTACTTTTGAGGCTTCAGCACGACGCTCCCAAGACCACCTTTGTAACAAAGCTCTCACATGTTTAAGTAATGAAGTAACAGGTAATTCTCTAGCTTCCTTTAGTAGAGCATTCATGGATTCTGCTATATTTGTAGTCATCATATTGTACCGTCTTCTGGGGCAATGCGTACGTGCCCAACGTGAAAGTTCAACTTCGTCCAAATATGTACCCACGCCATTATCAAATGTTGTGATACTCGACCAAAACTCCCTAAATTTTGACTCCTGATAGGCTTTAGCAGCATTGACAAACAAATATTCAATTGTTTCATTCTTGAACTTAGCACTCAAATTATGCTTCAAATGGTGAATGCAAATACAATGAAATGCATTGGGAAACACGAAAGCAATAGACTTCGATATGCTACTACTTCGATCTGAAACAAAAACTAGGTCCTTAACCTCACCTATTGCTCCTTTTAGCTTTTTCAAAAACCATTTTATGTAATTATCTATCTCTCTATCAACAATTCCAAAAGCAATGGGATAAATTTGATTATTGTGTCTAAGTAGGTGGCAATTATCAAAGTACCTCGATATTTGCACGTCAAATATGTTCCATCGATAACAATAACAGGTCGTATGCAATTAAAAAATCCTCGAATACATGGATCTAGCGTCATAAAATGATATTTGAAGTTTTTTCCATCTTCAAGTTCAACCTCATAAAATGTACTTGGATTGGCCAACTTCAGTGCTTCACTATATTGACGCAATATATTATATGACTCTATAGGTGATTCTCTTACCTGCATATATGCACATTCTCTCGCACGTCATGATTTTTCATAACTCATATTGATACCGTAGTCTTGTCTCATGTCTTCTATAA